ATAACGTATACGTTGTGTTAGGTATACCGTTTACATTGGGTTTTGAGAAAACATATATGTAAATAAATTTTCATTCGTATAACGAATTAGTAGTTTCTTGATACAACCCGGCTTACCATGTAGCGCTAGCTTGTGGAAAGGTGAAAATATATTTATATACTTGCGCCGGGTATTTAATGTTCGGCTCCGCCCGAACTTAGACTTTCTTGCTTGTTTAAATCCCATGTAGTACGAAATAAAAAAATATGTATTCTCATTTGTGTAATTTCATTTTAATTAAGGTGTATGTGACAATTTATATGGTATTCTTAACACAAATTGACGTTGTACAAAAAATTACAAAGTTAACCTAACCCGATGTATGTATTTATATGTGATAATTAGCATAACGTATGCGTCATACGTACGACAACGTATACCGTAAACCTTTGACAATTTATGCTTTATCCCTAACATAAGGACATGACAATTTACACGTTATCCCTGAAATAACGTAAACCGTTTACTTTAAACAACGCGCACGTTATATCAGAAACTACTAATTCGTTAAACGAATGAAAATTTATTTACATATATGTTTTCTCAAAACCCAATGTAAACGGTATGCCTAACACAACGTATACCTTATTCCAAACCAGTGTTGCCGTTTTAGCCCTTTGGTGGCTAAATTTAGCTACCACATACTTTTTTTGGCCACATAAATTTAAAATTGTCCCTAGCCCTTTTTTAGCCCTTTTTATAATCTATTCATACTTGGCATGAAAAAGTTGTATATGCTTAATTTGTTTTTTTTTTTGCATTTATGTAAGAGATGAATTTTTAAACTAAGAAAGACTGATATATATACATATGCATCTATATGTATGGTATGTTCCTTACGTTTTTATACATACACACTGTAAAAGTGTTAAGGCTGTTAACTTATCTATTAACGATTTAACTATAGTTTAAAATAGATAAGTTGACTGCCCTTACTGCCATACTGTAAAAGTGTTGGGGCTGTTAACTTTTCTGTTAACGATTTAACTATAGTTTAAAATAAATTTGTTTGTAAATTTGTTTAATAACCCATCAAGTCAAGTGACCGTGTATGTTCTTGTGGTGTGATTATACCAGCATGCTGGTGTTGTTAGTGGTGAAATTAGCTCAATTTTCTAAGTAAAAAGTATTTTGGCGGAAATTTCTTGCACTATATGAGTCAAAGCTGTATTTGTGGAAGATTACGTTCACGATATTGCAGTTGTGAATTACAAAGAAAAACAATGTTAAACAAAATGCTAGAAAAATTATGAAATTTCGGCTCTAATCATTTCGATCTTTCCTCGATCTCATTTGTAAAGAAATAGATATTGTACCAGCATGCTGGTAAGTTATATGCTTCGAGCCTGATGGTACAATCACTTGATGGAACCAGCAAGCAGCTGGTACAAAAAGGTTTTTGGTTGGATAAAATATTAGCTTTTTTCCAAAGTTCGTTGTTTTTATATACCATTACTTATTGAAAATGTTTACGTGTATACTTATATATGTATATGTAAGTAAAAAATTTTAGCTACCATTTTTAGCCACAACGACTTTTTTTTAGCTCTATTTTAGCCCTTTTTTAAGGGAATTTGGCTACCACTAAAAATTATGCGCGGCAACACGGTTCCAAACACAATGTAAACGTTATGAGGATGACAGTGTATACGTACCTATTTAGCTTTCAAGCTTTATTTGTAAAGAATATTGTGGAACGTGTCCTTCGATGTAAATTTTTATTTATCTATATTTGTTGCAATTTGAATTGTCTTCGAACGGATAGCGTAGTATAAATTGTTTGATCGAGCTCTGCACGAACACGCCTTAGTACCTTTAATATCGTAAAGACCAGTTTGCTGTGGTGTGTGACCTGAATTAACACCCGAATAGCACAATATCCATAATATGGGGTAACGGATATTTTATTGAATTGCTGCTCAAAAAAACAGATGGCGACGCCTTCAGCAACCCTTTTGGCAACACTACCAGCAACCTTTGTTTCATTATCATACAAGCATCAGCTCTCGACAGCGTCATCTATTTACTGAGCATTAGTAACAGACATTTTGAATTTTGTAATTTTACTATAATTAATATAAGGGATGTTGCGAATGTGGAATTTAATCAAGCACGATTTAAGCGTGGATCCGAATCAAGCATTTTTAAGAAACAATTATAAATAAGCATAATGGCGAGATCGTGTTAAAATAAATAAATTATTATTTTCCAGGAAAAAAAGTTTTGAACAAAGTTGTGTTTTCAAGGTCATGCCTGCCAGTGGAATCGGATATTGTTATTTATTTAAAAACCAATTTCCTGTGGTACGGTGACTTGACTTGATTTTTTAATTTTTTTATATTAGTTTTCGACCACGCTGGAAGTTTGTGTGAGTGCAATACTGAAAACCAGATGGCGCCGCCTTCAGTAAGCAGCTGGCACACTGCCAGTACATCAACCCTTACCAGCGTCATCTATTTTCTGAGCGCTAGCAACAGACAATTTGAATTTCGTAATTTTCCTGTCATCTAGACTAACGTCTGGTCGAAAAGATCTCTAGTGACAATTATCCAGCAGCAACTTGCAGAAGAGATTTGAAATATATTACAAAAAGTCCGCGAACGCAAAATTAGCGCCAACTTGTAAGTTTTTATTACAGCTTATTGAAATCCCCTGTTTTTAAAATCCTCATTTAAATCCCCTTTAGTACGTGTGCGTGTGACAAATCATAAATTGTCCCTATGACAATTTATATGATACTAGCAGAGCATCCGACGTCGTTCGGGGTAAACAAATAAAAATATAAAACAGTAATATAAATGAGTAGTGCAAAGTGCGCTATGTAAAATTTTTGGATTTTTAGTTCTAGTATTTAAAGTAGTTTCATGTCCACTAGCAACACAGTGCAAAATCTTTTTATATTCTGAAAAAATAGCATAAAATGTTAACTCTTCTTCCAAAAGTCGCTATCATACCTATTTATAAACTCTCAAAAGTATCCACCTTCTGATGAACCTAGAATACTGCTTTCGGTCGTGTAGACTGTTAATGTTATCTTATGTCATGGTATGTTATGTTATAATTTTATAAGGCTCGTATTTATCCAAATTTTTTGGTAATAATAAAAAGGATTCGATTTAAATGCTACTTGTTGTCGTAGTCGTTTTTTCAAATTTATGGCTTTCTATTATAAAATCACATAACGCTGTTTGCAAGTGGACTACTCAAATATTTAGTTCAGCATAATTTAAAGGAGAAAAACTTTTCTTTGTTTACATTAAGGCATCCTTATGTGCCTTACTTTTAGCTTTATCGTGATTTAACTCATATAGTATATTAACAAACAATATGGTGAAAATGGGCATTTGACTGCAAAGTTCGAAGGTCGATTAAACAAAAATTCGAACTAACATAAACAAACGCCACGATACGGCTCTTCTAATTTAGCCTCTATTTTCACCCCTCACTCTCAGAATCGACCAAACTTTTGCTAGCCTGAATTTGTTCCACAGTGTAATTTAAAGGAGAAAAACTAATTCCTTTGTTTACATTAAGGCATCCTTATGTGCCATACTTTTAGCTTTATCGTGCTTTAACTAATATAGTATATTGATCATCACTTGTACTACAAATCTTGTTCAATTATTAATATTAGGTGGGGTAAGGTAACGACCAAATTTCTAAATTAGTTCTAAAATTAGTTTACTACGGTACATTCCGTTTAGATGCCTATTCGCTTAGCTGTTTTAGTATAGCTGCGCTTTTCTGGTAGAATGCTTAATTCCAAAGTAGTCTTATCAGCGTTATCTATTTTCTGAGCGCTATCAACAGACAATTTGAATTTAGTAATTTTTTTGTAATCAAGAGGCTGTTCGAATAGATCTCTAGTGACAATTATCCAGCAACAACTTGCAGGAGAGAAACGAACGATTTTGAAAAGAATTAAAAAACAAACGCGAACGCAAAATCAGCACCAATTTGCAAGTTTTTATTAAAGTATGTAGTAAAGTATGCGTCATACGTACGACAACCTCTGACAATTTATGCTTTATCCCTAACATAAGGAATACGTTAAAGCTATGACAATTTACACGTTATCCCTAAAATAACGTAAACCGTTTACTTTAAACAACGCGCACGTTATATCAAAAACTACTAATTCGTTATACGAATTAAAATTTATTTACATATATGTTTTCTCAAAACCCAATGTAAACGGTATATCTAACACAACCTATACGTTATACCAAACACAATGTATACGTTATGAGGATGACAGTGTATACGTACCTATTTAGCTTTCATTGTGGAACGTGACCTTCGATGTAAATTATTATTTATCTATAATTTGTATTTATTTGTCTTCGAACGGACAGCGTAGTATAAATTGTTTGATCAAGCTCTGTACGAACACGCCTTAGTACCTTTAAAATCGTAAACACCAATTTGCTGGGGTACAGTGACTTGAATTAACACCCGTATAGCACAATTTCCATAATATGGGGTAACGCTGGAATACAATCGGATATTTTATTGAATTGCTGCAAAAAAAAACAGATGGCGACGCCTCCAGTAACCTTTTTGGCAACACTGCCAGCAACCTTTGTTTCATTATCATACAAGCATCAGCTCTCGACAGCGTCATCTATTTACTGAGCGTTAGTAACAGTAATTAATATCAGTAGTGCGATTCCCATTTTTCTTAACGACAAATTTCGTATTGTTAGCTATCGATTCCGACAAGTATCGTTAACTGCTATTCCCAAGCACACTTTTAGCGAATATTGTCGGTAGCTTTGACAGTTGTGTAACGAAATTTGTCGATAGCCTAGCTACGAATATTTTGTCGTTGAAAAGCCTAACGATAAAATTGGTTTAAGTTTTTATTGAGAAAAATTAGGCAAAATTCATCGGTAAGCAAACTATTATAATAAAAAATTATAAATTCGTTTATAAAAAATACAACTTTTTAGAAAACGACAATGGCGTTCCAGTTTCTTGGATACGATGCGGAAATGGCCCAAGGAGCAAGGAGTTTTGTAGCAGAACGCGCTCTACTAAGAGAAGTGGACAGCCCCTTTGATTTGGACGAGGGCCAATTTAAAAGGTTATACCGGCTGACCCCAAATCTTGTTTATGAAATCATAGACAAAATTGGCAGTCGTCTTGAAAGAAAATATGTATCAGCATTATCGGCTGAAAAAAGGTAAGAGATCTCAAACTTCTTGATCATCAAACAAAGGCCATCAATTTAAAAAGGGAATTCATCGATTTTCAGGTGCTTGCAGCGCTTCGTTTTTATGCGACCGGCTGCTACCAACGGCCAGTGGGAGAGCAATGGGGACTCTCAATGAGTCAGTCTTCCATTAGTCGTTCAATTCATAGGGTAACTGATGCCCTAAATGAAACTATGTTTATGGAAAACGTACGTTACCCGATGACGGTAGTTGAACGACAGGTTGCTCGAAGTAATTTTTCAGCAGCGCGTGAGCCCCTTGATGGCGCTATTGGTGCAATTGATTGCACGCACATAGCAGTTATCGGGCCAAACGATCATGAGGAGGCATACGTTAATCATCACGGCTATTACTCGATAAACGTTCAAATGGTAAGAAATACATACATACGTATGTAAATAAATATTTGTATTTCTGTATGCTCGTCTTTTCGCTTATTGGATCCCAGCTTTTTAAGACAGTGGTTGTTTTTTTACAGGTGTGTGATTCGAACCTCAAAATTTTGAATGTAAATGCGAGATTTCCCGGTGCACGTCATGATGCATATATATATGGAATGCATCCGCTGTTCGGAGAGCAATGAAGCGAGCATATGATTGGGGAGACCATAGCACATTTTTAATAGGTATTGTTCTTTAGAAAATTGACGACATTTATTTTGATTTATAATATCTTACAGGAGACTCGGGTTACCCATTAGAGCCATGGCTGATGACACCTCTATCAAACCAGAGAGAAGGTTCAACGCAATTTCGATACAATGAGGCTTTATGTAAAGCAAGGAACTGTGTCGAACGACTATTTGGAGTTTTAAAGGGAACATGGCGATGCCTTTCGAAGCAGCGAGTACTTATGTACGAGCCAGGCTTCGCTGGCAGGATTGTAAACTCCTGCGCAACTCTGCATAATATGCGACTCAACACAGTTGAAAACAACAGCGATATACAAAGTGAAGATCAAATTGTGGAAGCAGTTTTGGAAGAAGATTGGGAAGAATCCATTCACCCATCAGCTCTCGCCAAGAGAATGCAAGACCCGCCTTATAGCTGCTAAATTTACTTAGAAAAAAATCAACTAATAAATATTTATCACATACATATGTGCTTTTTATTATTACATTTTATTTATTACACCACTTAGGCAAAGGTTTTGATAGGTATTCTTGCTTAATTGCGGCATTCTAAATTCAATGGATTCTCCCGTTCTATCAGATTGGCTCCAGTTTTCGAGATAACGGTACTTGAAAATTTGCTTAAATTGTTTCTAAATAACACTTAGTGTTTGTGTTATTTTAAAAAAAATTTGCACGTGACTATTTTTTATAGTGAATTTAATATTAAAAAACAGTCATGAGCAAAGTTTTAGTAAAATAACTTTAAAACTCAGGGAGTTATTTATAAAAAAAGTTGAAATTTAAGCAAATTTTCAAGTGCCGTTATCTCGAAAGCTGGAGCCAATCTGATAGAACGGGAGAATCCATTGAATTTAGAATGCCTCAATGAAGTAACTATTAAAACCTTGGCTCAAAAAAAGTTCAAAATTCGAGAACAGTATTATTAACCAGCAGCTTAACAGAACTTGTTAAATCTTCCAAGGCGTTTGCTACGCGCCCAAAGGCCTGGGCTTGTAGAAGCATGGCTTTGGCGGCTTCAGCCTGCATCTAAAGTAAAAAGACGAAATATAAGGCAAAAATTAAGATAAGGCAACATAAAATTACCATCATAGCATCTGCCTGCTGCTTTGCTACTTTAGCGAAAATCTCCCGCGTACTTTCCATTACGGACTTTCGCTTCAAAGACGAGTTCGCCTGGACGTCGAAGCATTTTTGGTTCCTGTCGATTGAGTAGCCTCGACGGGAATCGGAGCTGCTTCTGCTATTGAAACCACAGGGTAATCAACCAGCACGGATGCGTCTCCGTTCTCAAGAGAAATTTGCAGACTCTATAATTATATACATATATGTATGTATGTATGAGCATATCGCACATTTGCTGGAAGTGATAATCAAAAAAAAAATCAAAAAATAAAAAACTCGAGAAAAACAGCTTTAAAGTTTTGAATTTACATATACATATGTACTCCCATAGTAAAAATCAATGCATATTTTGTTCTACCGGTAATCGATATAGCCGTGAATTTTTACACAACATAGAAGAAAAGGTAGCGATTATTTCTGCATACTTAACACGATCTTTGTTTCTTTTTTATTATGACACTATTGAAGTAAATGACCGATATGTACATAAATACGTATGTATGTATACGAAATTGAATGGTTTTTTTAATACGTACAATTGTATATTTGTAGGCAAATACAATATACAAATATACACACATACTAGCTATGTACATATATACATCTATATTTGTACTAACATCTTCCTCCGGAATACTTTCCACACATTGGCTACTCCCTTCCACATATTCTGTGCCAAGTAAGCTCAAAACTTTCTGATCTAAATCAGAAAGCGGAGCTGTTAACATTGGAGCATTTCCTGTTGCCGCCATTTGCTTCCTGCGCTCTCCTGCCTTGACGGAAGTCCGGCTTTTCAAATCGCGCCAAACCTAATACAAAAATTGCAATTATTGTGTTTTGCAGATATCATCTACTATGTGATCTACTATAACTTACTACTTGCCACTGAGCTGCAGATTTTTTCGGCACCATTTGAGCTATTTAGCAACATCGCTAGCTCTTCCCATTTCCGGGAAGCTTCTTGCCGGCCATGAATCGCGGAGAACTTGCCTTCCGCGAGGCCCTTATTGCCAAGGAGAAAGTCCAGCATTTTGTGGTACTGCTCCGTAGTAGCTCTAGCGCTTCTGTTTTTTTTTCATAATATATTCACACACAACAGTCCCGACAATAATAATACGCGTAACAATAATCAAATTTTCTTTTAAATATTAAATGTCAAACGTCAATATTGCTATATTTATCTTTGCAATTAAGGAAAATCGTCGTAAACTTCTTTACCGACATGCCTAACGAATTATGTCGTTAAGTGTGTTTTTGAGAATAGCCTATTCGCTACTGCAAGCTACAAACGTCGCTCATTATCATAACGATTATCGGTCGGTAGGAAAAATGGGAATCGCACTACAGGGATGTTGCGAATGCGGAATTTTAAACATCCGTGGATCCGAATCAAGCGTTTTTAAGAAACAATTATAAATTAGCATAATGTCGAGATCGTGTTTAAACGATAAATAAATACAATAAATAAACTATTATTTTCCAGGAAAGAAAGTTTTGAACAAAGTTGTGTTTTCAAGGTCGTGCCTGCCAGTGGAATCGGATCAGAATATTGTTATTTTTTTAAAAAGCACCCCGTTTTTTATTAGCATTTGGAGTTCAGATAGTTTCGTAATTCTTATCTGATCAAATGTCAGACCGATAGCTTTTTAATAATTTTAACATATGCTGGAAATCCCTATTGAGGGGGCTTACCCTTTGGCTTTAAATAGCCAAGAAAGGAGACGTAGTTGGACAGTTTTACCACAGAAGTTTTTATCCAAGGATCCAATGTATTACAGTTTTTTAAATTTTTGCTAAAAATAAATTACCTAAACAGCCCCATTTGAAATGATTGAATCGAATATATGTAACATCCAAACCAAACCACGAAAATTTGGTTAATAATTATTAATAGCAATTTGCGTTGTGGTCGAACATATCTATGAGTATATTTCTCTCTCAGTATAAGTTGTTCGATTAATCTCTGTACGAGCACACCTTAGAAGCTTTAATTTCGTAAAAACCATACGGTGACTTGGCTTGATTTGACAAGGAAATAGAATAATTTCCTTATATAGGTTTTTGACGACGCTGGCCAGGAAGTTAGCATAGTTTGTGTGAGTGCAATACTGAAAATCCGATGGCGCCGCCTTCAGTAAGCTGCTGGCAACACTGCCAGTCCATCAACCCTTACCAGCGTCATCTATTTTCTGAGCGCTAGCAACAGACAATTTGAATTTCGTAACTTGCCTGTCATCAAGACTAACGTCTGTTCGAAAAGATCTCTAGTGACAATTATCCAGCAGCAACTTGCCGAAGAGATTTGAAATATATCACAAAAAGTACGCGAACGCAAAATTAGCGCCAACTTGTAAGTTTTTATTACAGTCCCCTGTTTTTTAAAATCCTCATTTAAATCCCTTTAGTACGTGTGCGTGTGACGAATCATAAATTGTCCCTATGACAATTTATATGATACTAGAGAGCACCCGATGTCGTTCGGGGTAAACAAATAAAAATATAGAACAGTAATACAAATGAGTAGTCCACTTGCAAAGTGCGCTATGTAAAATTTTTAGTTTTTGGTGGATTACGACCAGTATATAGAGTAGTTTAAAGTAGTAGAGACGTAGTTGGACAGTTTTACCAAAGAAGTTTTTAGCCAAGGTTCCAATGTATATCCCTATGAGAAAAATATTGCCCGACAAGTAGACAAAATTACCGTTTTTTAAATTTTTGCTAAAACTAAATTTCCCAAACAGCCCCATTTGAAATGATTGAATCGAATATATGTAACATCCCAAGCAAACCACAAAAATTTAGTTAAGAATTATTAATAGCAATTTGCTTTGTCTTCGAACATATCTATGAGTATGTTTCTCTCTCAGTATAAATTGTTCGATTAATCTCTGTACGAACACACCTTAGAAGCTTTAATCTCGTAAAAACCAATTTCCTGTGGTACGGTGACTTGACTTGATTTGACAAGGGAATAGAATAATTTTTTTTATATTAGTTTTCGACCACGCTGGCCTGGAAGTTAGCATAGTTTGTGTGAGTGCAATACTGAAAACCAGATGGAGCCGCCTACAGTAAGCAGCTGGTACACTGCCATACATCAACCCTTACCAGCGTCATCTATTTTCTGAGCGCTAGCAACAGAGAATTTGAATTTCGTAATTTTCCTGTCATCTAGACTAACGTCTGGTCGAAAAGATCTCTAGTGACAATTATCCAGCAGCAACTTGCAGAAGAGATTTGAAATATATTACAAAAAGTACGCGAACGCAAAATTAGCGCCAACTTGTAAGTTTTTATTACAGCTTATTGAAATTCCCTGTTTTTAAAATCCTCATTTAAATCCCCTTTAGTACGTGTGCGTGTGACAAATCATAAATTGTCCCTATGACAATTTATATGATACTAGCAGAGCATCCGACGTCGTTCGGGGTAAACAAATAAAAATATAAAGCAGTAATACAAATGAGTAGTCCACTTGCAAAGTGCGCTATGTAATATTTTTCGATTTTTAGGTTTAGTATTTAAAGTAGTTTCATGTCCACTAGCAACACAGTGCAAAATCTTTTTATATTCTGAAAAAATAGCATAATATGTTAACTCTTCTTCCAAAAGTGGCTATCATACTTATTTATAAACTCTCAAAAGTATCCACCTTCTGATGAACCTAGAAAACTGCTTTCGGTCGTATAGACTGTTAATGTTATCTTATGTCATGGTATGTTATGTTATAATTTTACAAGGCTCGTATTTATCCAAATTTTCAGGTAATAATAAAAAGGATTCGATTTAAATGCTACTTGTTGTCGTAGTCGTTTTTTCAAATTTAT